GAAGAAAAGAAGAAACAGTCTTTCAGTGAATGTGCTGGGAGCATGCAGTGAAGGAAACCCCTAGGCTCGGCGTCGGCAGACTGCGGCTCGATAGCCAGATGTCCACGTGGCTCGAGGGTAAAACGGAAATGCTTTCAAAGACATTATTCAGATCATAGCGATAACGTTTATTTGTGAAAATATACTTGTGGTCCTCATCATTTTTAAAGTATTGCGAGGGACGGGATTGGCTCTTCCATCTCAAGTTTGTCCACCCCTGTCCTAGACAAGTAAACAGAGACAGTCATCTCAAAAGAGGCTGTTGGTCTTACCCTGTCCAGAGCAAAGCAGAGCAATAAACATCAGACAACATGGACACACAGAGACAAACAGACACACAAGGACACATGGACACATGGACACACAGGGATATAGGAACACATGGACACATGGACATACAGGGACACATGGACACACAGGGACTAATGGACACAGGGACTCATGGACACATGCAAACCTCAGCCTGCATACCCCAGGCCTACGTGGTGCCCGGCTACTACAACCAAGCACTCTGAGAGGATGGAGATGGACAGTTCTGGAAAGATGGAGCTCACACCAGGACCCGGTGACTGTGACTGCCCCAGGCCTGGCCTGGATCCTCCTCCCAGTCTGGGGCTGAACTCAGCCTGGGCCTCCACTTTTCAGCCAAACGGCAGCCTGGCCCAGCAAGTGAACAGAAACACTAGGATGGGAGGCGCTCCTTAAAAGAAACAGCCGAACGCCTAGGGGGGAAGCCTAGATGGCAGACAGGGATAGGACGGATGGATGGACGGAAATGGAAAACAGGGAGGAAGAGGGCCGTCCCCGTGTGGGCTGACCACCTCCAACCCGAAACAAGACGTGGGGGATGGAGTGGAAGAAGAAAAGAATCACCTCCGTCACCCTGCCCCCCCCAAGGACAATGGGAAGGCCACCGAGGAGAAGAGGGCAGGAAGGGAAAGATGATCGGATCAGCCAGCACGACGCCTGAGGAGCCAGAGGAAGAACTCGGCCGAGAAATGCGTGCAGCAGGACGCAGGGGCCGGGGTGCAGGAGATGGCGTATTGGTCAGGGGGACCCACTCACTGGAACAAGCACTCTCCCGGAGGCTGCGGGGCGCCTCGGCAGTGGGCGGGGCGCTGTCGGGGAGCACCTCCCTGAGTGGGGAAGGAAAATGTTGGGTGAGCAAGGCTGTCCCAGCCTGGGTCCCCACCTGCCACCTGCCGCCTGGCCACTCACAAGTAGCCTTCACTGTTGGGGTAGTCTTCCTCGTCCTCCTCCTCGTCCTCATCCGTGTCCTCACAGGCTGGCTCTGGGGATGACATGAGAGTCAGCCCCGTCAGGGAGGACCCCAACCTCCACGCCCCACCCCAAGACCCAGCCCCAGCCAGCCAGAGCACCTGGGGTCCCAGACACACCCTCGTTCTCGTAGCTGGCCACGCTGATGGCTTCAGAGGGAGAGAGGGAGAGGAAGGGGCACGTCAGCTCAGGCTAGCCGCCTGCCCAGCCCCGGCCTCTCGGGACACTTACCACTCTCCGAGTCCTGCCGGGAAGATAGCATCTGGTGGCAGCTCACAGGGGGTCGTGGGGAAGTCCTGGGAGTCAAAGGTTAGGGGGTAATGCCTGGGATGGGGGTTAGTAACAGGACAAGAGCCCGCTAATTCAGGGAGGTTAGAGGGCAGAGAATGGGCTGGGCTGGGGAATGGGGATGAGGGGCGACTCACGGGATGGGGGGCACATCTGGCTGGGTCATAGGGTACGAGGTTGTGTGGATGGGGTCCGGTGGCCAGTGGGCAATGGTGTCTGAGAACAAGACCCACTTGTAGGGAAGACTGCGGCTGCCACCACCCCTCTTGCGCTTCAAGGGGCAGGCTGGAGGCCCGGGCAGAGGGTCTCCCCCCTCCCCACACCTCAAGTAGTGGTACAAGACAGAGACCCAGACAGACAGCCCCTCACCCCTCTACCCAAGGGCAGGAACCCTCCGAGTACTCACAGGGCCGCTTGATCTGTAGGTTACCTGGGTATAAACTGGTAGGAGAAAGAGCTTGGCGTGGAGCCAAGAGAGCCCCCAACCCCACCCTAAGCCATGTAGGGGGTATGAGGGGACCCACAGGGTCACCAGGGCAGACTCACCCATCTGAGGAGGCACTGTCATAAGAGGCTGGGGAAGAGAGAGCTGATAAGAAAGGAGGTGCCGGAGAGGGCTCTGGGTGGCAGGACCCAGCTGGGTGGGGGCAGGCTCCCTGGTGGGGCCCACTCACCTGGCAGCTCTCGGCAGCGCAGACACAGGGCCAGCAGCAGCACGGCCAAGAAGGGCAGCAGGAGCCCCAGCCCGGCAGAGGCCACCACCACTGCCTCCATCTGCGGAGAGAAGGGAGCCCCCCGCAAGGGCAGAGCTGCAGCAGGGCTCGGGGGTGGCCTGAGGCGCAACAGAGCCCTTTGAGTTGTTCCTTGGGCCCCCCTTCCCTACAGGGCAACGTGGGGTCAGTGCTGGCTTGGGAAGGCTCTGGGCCCCCGGGCAGGCAGGCCAAGTCCCAGGCTGGGGCCTGGAGCCCCGGCTGCTCCCTGCATGGTCCCTGCACCCCGGCCGAACCTGCACCTCGCTCCTCCACGCCTTGTCGGCCCCTGCCTGCGGCAGGAAGCTGTGGTGAGCGCTGGGTGAGGGCAGGAAGTCATCGGGCTCGCACACTGCACCGCCCCACCCACCCCCACCCCGGCAGTGGGACATGGAGGGGAACGACCCCCCAGGCAGGTGGGGGGTGGCCAGCAGGCTGGTCTCCATGTCCACAGGCTACAGGAGCCAGGAGGGGAAGCTCCACCCTGGGAACTTTGGGGTACACAGGGCAGTGCCTGCCCACCTGAGGGGTGGGGCCTGGGGTGGTGGGGGGAGGGGGGACATGGGCATGACTCATGGTCACACCGAGCCAGCTCACTGGGAGGAAAGCGGTCCCCTCTCCCTCACCCAACCAGAGGGCAGACACTTCCCAAAAGCCGGAGGACGGGGACCAGGCAACCCTGCAGGCCAGCGGTCACTAACCCCAGAGGAAGACTCACACAGGCACTTGGGGTCTGGCTATACATTTTATTGAGAAACAAATAGCACCGAGCCCCTGGGGCTGCTCCCATGGAGGGGTCCCCCAGGCCCCCACTGTCCCCCAGGCCCCGGGGCTGCATGCCCGTGTAGTGTATGGAAGCCAGAAGCTGGGACACAGTCCTGGGTCGTTCATCCCAGGAGCTGGGCCAGGCCAGGCCAGGCCGAGGCTTGGGCCCAGGCTCCTTCCAGGGTGGGCTGGGTAGGTGCCAGCAGGCGTGCAGTGGGTGAGCCAGCAACGTCCATCAGATGAGCACGCTGGACACGGGGACCCGGGTGGAGCGGCCACGCTGCGGCACTACGATCCGGTCATCAGCAGGCCCTGCCTCTCGTAGCACACCTGGCGGGAGTGGAGGGGCAGAACCAGAGCTGGGTGGATGGACAGACACAAGATGGGGGGGGGGGCAGGGGAGACAAACAGGTGACAGCAAATGGGTGGGGCTAGAGTGCCACTGGGATGTGACCACAGAGTCGGAATTGAATGGAGAGAAGCCAGGGGCATGAGGCTGAGCAGACGGGAGTTGTGGACAGATGGCAGGGCCCCCAACTGACCCTGCACGTGTAGCTGGGCACGCCGGCGGTCGCCCTCAATGAAAACGGCAGTGCCCAGGAAGGCTGCCCCGCCCAGCGCCCCAACGAAGGCGCAGAGCATGAGCGAGAACTGCAGAGCCCGGAACTCGGACAGGAAGGATGGGGGCCAGCTCCGGCGGAGACGGTCGGAGATCTGCAGAGAGGCCAGTGAGCTGCCGTCCAGGGTGAGGGAGTCCGGGATGGGGCAGAGGTCCACCGCACCAGTCTCGTCCTTCCTCCCGCCCCACAGGCCGGCCCAGGGGCAGAGCTCACCAGGCCGATGAGGTAGGGGCTCCCAGCGTCGCCCAGCAGGTGGGACAGCACGATCTGGAAGGCCTCTGCAGTGGACCGCCGTGTGGGGATGACCACGTACTGGGGGCAAGAGGAGCAGGGGCTCAGGGTTGGGCCCCCAAGAGGCAGAGGTCGGGGTGAGCCTGGCTCAGAGGGGTGACCAGGCTCAGGGCAAGGGTGACAGCACAATCGAGGGCGTCCCACCTGCCCTGCGCCCATGCACCTCTGGGAGAGCTGCTTACCAGCAGAATGTCAGCTACGATGGCCCAGTTCATGGACAGCAGCGTCTCCCCGACAAAGATGAAAATCTGAGGGAGGGACGGCCCTGTCACCGTGGAGCAAACGGGCTTTCCTCGGTGCCCTGGGTGGAGACCAGCTGGTCCCTTCCTCAGTGGAGCCCCCGTGGCCAGGGCCACCACGATGACCATTGTACAGGTGAGGAGACTGAGCCCAGAGCACTGAAGGAAGTTGCTTACCCAAGTGCCCCACGGCTGGGATTCAGAGCTGGGCATTCCTGGCCTAACCAGACACCCAGTGCGCCATCCTCCGCCCTGAACCGCACCTCCATGACGCCCGCTGGCTACTTACGTAGGTGGCCACGATGCTACCACGCGCACAAGCGAGGGACAGGAAGAGAAAGGGGGCAGAGCCCAGGAGCCCCGCAGCGCAGACCAGAGGGTCAGCCCGGGGGTTGGAGCGGCGGAGGTGGCGGCTGATCTCCACACCCAGGCCCACGCCCAGGACACCAGTCAGGCAGGTGATGAGCCCAAAGATGAGGCTAGGGGACAGGGCAGAAGGTGTGCCGGCTAGGTCTTCTCCCTGCTGAGCCTCCCGCCCGCAGCCTCTCCCTCCAGTCCTGGAGAGCAAATCCCAGCTGCCTGCTACCCACGCTCAGCTCCTGGCTCATAGAGTACCCCATACCCACCCCCCACCCCACTCCCCCCTGAGGCTAAGGCCTTGCTGTGGACTCAGGTTTCCAACAAGCCTGCAAGTGGCCCAGCCCGCTCTGCGTACCTGTCAGAGGAGGAGCAAGACTCTCCGGGGAGGCAGGGAGGGGTCTCCCCCAGGACCACACGGGAGCGAAGCAGGAAGGCAGGAGCCCAGAGAGCCAGGGAGCCCGTGACGAAAGCTACGGCCGTGAAGCCCAGGGACGACAGGACGAAACTGGGGCTGCACAGGGACGGGGGGAGGTCAGTGAGGACCTTGCTTCTCCCTCCCTCGCTGGTCTGGGCCAAGGCAGGGCACTAAGCCTGCAGGCAACTGGTGGGGCCTGGCCTGGCCCCTGGGCCTGTAATTTAAGCAGCTGCCACAAGAGGGCATGCGGACAGAATCCCTGGCATTGGTGAGGACCCAAGTCCCCTGGGAGCACGAGCCAGATGCCCCAGCCCTCCCCTGGGGCCGCACCTGACAGACCAGGATGGGCTGACACTCACTTTCTGGCCAGAGCCTTCAGGTCCGCCCACCACGAGGTGGGGCTCAGGGGTGGCGAGTCCGAGTGGCGCTCCACGGCCCCCCGAGGCGGCTCCCGGACCACCAGGAACAGCAGCAGGACGGCGACCACGCCGAGGCCCGGTGTCACCTGGGGAGAAAGCAGGCTTCGGGAGCGGGCCCAGCTGGGTCCCACTCCAGGGCAGAGCCTGGGAAGAGAGGGTGTGTCTGAGCTGCAGTGAGGGGGGCTGAGGCTGCCACTGGGGACCGGTCCCTTTCTGCCTCACTTTGTCCTCCTGGGGCTTTGTCCACCCTCATCTGAGTCCGAGGAGCCATCTTCCACCCAGTCAGCTGGCACAAGGGCCCACACTGCTCTAGCCGGGCACCACCCTGGCTCACGGCTCCCGGTGCTGAGGTTCCTAAGCAGAAAGGCCTCTGTTGGCAGCTGACTGAAGTCCATGGAGGAAAGACCAGGTGATTCTAGAAGCCCTGGAACCTCTCACCCTGGGGCTTCCTTACAAACAGATAAAACGAGGTAGAACTGCCCTGTGGGGTGCCGGGACCCTAACTCCCTACAGGGGTAGAAAGCCCCATCACCCTTCTCCGAGGAGCGGCTGGTGGCTTGAACTGCTGACCACGCAGTTACCAGCCCGATGGCTCAATCACCACGCCCCGCCGGGGCTGCTTGGGGCTTGCTTAGGGGTGCTGAGAGCACCTTCTCTGGGCTCAGTTTGACATGGGGCTCTGTCGCTGGCCACCTGGAGTAAGGTCTGGCCCACAAAAGGGAGGGGTGGAGGCGAGGGTAGGGAACGGGCTGATCCCTCCCCAGCGGAGACTCACCCTCAGAGCCCAGTGCCAGTCCCCGGCCACATCCTTCACCTTGGAGCCTGCAATGTAGCCCAGCCCACTGCGGAGCAAGCAGGATGGACACAGCGGTCAGCTGGGCCTCCAACAGCAGGCCCCAGCCCTGGCCCCCAGGTGCACCGCTCCCTCACCTGCCCACGGGGATGGCGAAGTAGAACACACTGAGCATGCGGCTCCGCTGGTCGGCCACAAAGAGGTCTGCAATGAGCGTGGGCGCGATGGTGGAGTAGCTGGCCTCTCCGACCCCCACCAGGCCTCGTGTCAGGAGCAGCAACCAGAAGTGCTGGGTGCAAGCGAGACAAGGGTGGGGAAGGGAAGGCAGCAGGCCCCCACGGTGCTGGCCCGGCCCTCAGCCCTCAGCCGGGGCTGGCGGGAGAGGCCCGGCTCCCCAGTGGGACAGGCCGGGGCTGGAATCCTGACTCCACTACTTACTTACTAGCTGTGTCTCTCGGGAAAAGTAACTTAACCTCTCTGAGCCTCAGTTTCCTCATCTGCAAAAGCCGAATAATAAGGCCTTGCTCTCATCGCTGTTGGTAGGATCAGACAACAAAAGGTCTGTCGGTCACTCTGCAGGCCGGTGGGTGCCAGGTCAGTCTTAGCTTCTGGGGGGCCACCCACCTGGGCCACCCCAACAGGGGGGTGGGGGGGAGGGGAGGGCCTCGTTCCGGTCTACCCAGCACACCAGGAGGCCAAGCCTCCAGTGACCACTTCGGGAAAGGAGCAAAACGTAGCAGGTAGGAAAGGCGGGGTGGGGGTGGGGGGAGCGAGCAGGGGTCACAAGTCAGAAAAGGCACTCTGGGAAGGAAGACATGGGTCAACAGCAGCCAGAGAGTCCAGGGCATGGGGCGAGACCAGGAGCAGGAAGCAGGAGCTGCATTGGGCAACCAGGAGGTCACTGGTGACTTTGGCAAGAGCCGTTTCAGCGAGCTGCCACGGGGGCAGCGAGGGCAGCAGTCAGCAGGGCCCTCCGAGGGGGATGGGGAGGGGCTGCTCTTTCACCCAGCCTGGCAGTCAACACTGGGGGGCGGGGAGGGGGGTGCGCTTGCAGGAAGTCTGGCCAGGAGGGGAAGTGAGAGGGTGTGGGAGCCAGGCACAGTGTTCCACGGTGAAGAAGCAAGTGTGAGGGCTGAGGTATGAAGTGAAAGAAGCCCCTGGTGAGGGGGAGAGGGAGCGGGGGTGAACCAGAGGAGGGGCTGGCAGAAAAGGGGGAGAAGGAAACGGCAGATGTTCCCTAGACCCAGCATGCAAGGGGCCCGAAGCAGCGAGTAAGGGGTCGGCTGGGGGCCTCACCTCTCTGGGGATGAAGGATGAGCCCAGTGTCACCAAGGACCAGAAGGCAATGCCCCCACACATGAGGTACTTCCGATTGTACCTGTCACCCAGGTAGCCAAACACAGGTGCCAACACCATGTAACTGGAGACGAACACTGCAGGGAAGCAGGGAGTCACCGACCGTCGCCAAGGAGCGCGGCAGGAGCCAGGGAAGAGTCAGTGTTTTCCACCCTTCAGCCCAGCCCCCAACGCCCATCAAGGCGTCCTGCCAAGAAGGCTGTCCAGTCCAGGCTTCAATCTCTTTCCAAAACTTCCACGGTGGAGTGGACGGCCCAGCCCACTTGCTACTTCCTTCCACATAGGGCTCACAGTGCCTATCCCATCCGAATGCTACCTCTCTCCCCACCCTCAGGCTTGGCCACACTCACCCCTCCTCCCCCCACCCCCACTCTCCTCGGGAACTTTCCCAGCTCAATTCTATCGCAGGGCTTTTGGGACCTGTGATCACATGTGCCTAGAACATCCTCTCTTCGTTTCTGAACCCCAATGCGCTTAATTCCTTCAGCTTCCGAGCCAGTACTTCCTCATACCAACCCTCTCTGTTGCATCTAGTTTAGTTTCTCTTGTACAACATTTATCCCTGTGGGAAATGATGTCATTTATTAAATTTGTATTGACGAGTGCCTCCCCCGAACCCCTGCAAAACACACACACACACACACACACACACACAGAATGTTGGCTCCATGAAGGTCAAGGTCCTGCCTGTTGTGGCCACAACTATGTTTCCATCATAGAACGCACAGCCCAGCACAAAACCAGTGCTCAGTAAACGCCTGGATGGACATGTCAATAAATGGTGCTGCCTCGAATGAGCCTTCTCACGTTTGGTTACCTTGACCCATCTCCTTCTTCCTCCTTCACCTACAACACTCCCAGCTCCCATTGGCCTGGAGCAGACAGAAGACCACCACACAACTGCTTTTAAATCCCCAGCTGCCTCTCTTCGGCTGTGTGCCTCAGGCAAGTCTTAACTCTACTACCAGCACGTCTGGAAAGGCCTACATCTGCTTTGAAGCTGGGATAGCTCTGCTCAGGCACGCTTGAGGAACGAACTGCGCAGAGGAAGGGAAGGGCCTTGAGTCAGGATACGTGGAGGGCAGAGGGTCCGGTGGGTCACGGAGGACAGAAAGGGAAGCCTTGCCTACACTGCGTCCAAAAGAGATGCGCACCCTGGTCTGCTTTAACCGTTCTACTAAACCAAGGCCCTCCTTCAATGTGGTGCCCCAGCTGAGCAGGGCAGCCCCCGAGTAACGTGTGGGCCACCCCACTGGGGAGGGCGTTTGCATCACCAACCCACTGCGTCTCCGGGCTCCTTCTCTGGCCACTTGCCAAATCTACTGTCCTCCAAGCGACTTCGAATCAGAGCCACTAGGCCTCCATCAGTGAGGTCCCGGGCCTGCTGGTATGTGACCCCAACAGGCAGAGGAGAAAAGCTGCTGGGTGCCCAGGCGGGGTCCCTGCTCACCCGTCTGGATGAGGCCGGAGCTACTGTCTCCGATGTCGAAGAACTGCTCAATGTCTGGAAGGACGCCTGGGAAGCGGGAGAGCGGAGCTGAGCCGGGCCGGGCAGGGCGGGCAACCCCACCCTGGAGACCCCTGCCCCCTTCCACTCTATAGCCGGTACCCGCCACGGTGAAGCGATCCATGTAGTTGAGGAGATTAATATAGCACAGCACGGCCACTACGAGAGCCGAGCGGCCCGGAGACAAGCCCGTGATGCGCTGCAGTCTCTGCCGGTCCGGGACCTCAGGCTCCCCGGCCTTCGGGGCTCCCAGGAACCCCGGGGTGCCGGGCACGGGCCCATCGCCCGTGTCATCCGCCTGGCTGAGGAAGGGCGTGGTGTCGGACCCGGCCATGGTCCCCGGGGGCCGCGCCCGCCCGCGCTCTGGTCCCACCGATGATCCCACCTGCGAGGGGACGAGGCTGGAGAAAAGAGCATGGAGGGAGCCCAGGCGAGGCGCGCCCGGAGGAGTCAGGTCAGCCCGGGGACGCGGCGGGGCCGAGAGAGGGGCCCCGAGCCCGGTCTTGCCTCCCCATCATGCAGACACCCCGCGCGGGAGGTGGCGGGGGTCCGAGGATGCCGGGGACCGAAGCGGGTAGCAAAGGGTCCCCACCCCCGGAGCCCTCCCGGGCTGCGATCCTGCTCACCCCGCTCAGAAGCGCGCTACACTCGCCGCCGCTCAGCCCCGGGGCTGCCCCACGGCCGCCGCCATGCTGCTTGGGAGCCGGTCAGGTGATGCGGGGCCCGGGCAGCAAAAGCCCGAGCGGACACACTCTGCGCACGTGACCGCCAGCCGGCGTACGGAAGCCGCCACGGGAAACCTTCAGCGCGCCGGCCCGGCCCGCGTTCTCGCGCCACGTGACCGGCCGCGGTCGCCCTGGCAACGCGGCAGCGCCGCCCCGCCGCCCCGCCTCGGGCTGATAGCATCTTGTCTCCAGGGTAGCTCTGCCCGCTGGTGAAGTCACCTAACTTTTCGGACTCCAGAGCGCCCCGCCTGGCCGACTTCAAGGTCGACCCCGAGAGCGGAACCGTCCGTGGGAGCGCGCCCTAGAAATGCCGGAGGCCACCTTTCGTCCTAGGTCCCTGCTCTCTTCCTCACCGCCCGCCTGCAGCCTCACACTCGCTCAACGGTCGGTGAATGGATGTCCGAGCGGACCCCCAGCCTGGCGTCGCCCTCGCCCCTGTCCCACCGTGCGCGCTGCCCACCCACAGCCTCCACTGTAGACTCGCGTGGCTGCCGAAGGCCGGCTTCCGCCCGCGGCCGGAGTCCTTGCGCCCTCTGG